CGTCATGTTCGCCATCCTGTTCGCCTCGAGGACTTCCTCAGTGGTCCTCCGGTTCGCTTCACGAACCTCAGCTGCGGCTATCCGGTTCGCCTCGCGAACAGCTTCCATCATTGCCGCGTTAGCCACTCTAGCGGCCTCCTGATCGGCTAACCTAGCCGCCTGCATCTCAGCCAATGCAGTCAGGATAGGATCGGATTGATCCTCAGAAGTCTCTCGTGTTCTCCCGAACCTTACCATGACTCTGCACAAGTTACACAAATTATGAGTTGATCAGGCCCACACAATGTGATCACATTTACATCATCATAATAAAATTCGACGGAGTAAACACAAAGACAGACACAACCAAACAACCTAACCATTGCAATACATACAGGCTTTTCCCTCGAACCATTGCTTTGATACCATAAATGTAACACCCCGTATATATCCGGTAATGTTATCATAATATCGTATTAAGCTGCGCTTAATTAAAATGCGGAATTACTTTTTCTTTTCAATTATGATGTCATTAACATTACCAACTTGCTTAATAATCAATTAATAAAACATCGCCTGTATGTAATTGCAATAAAACAGCTAACTCAAATACCTCATAACATAGATAATATAAATGTGGCTTTAGTCACGGAACTACAACAACGTAGACCGGACCATCTAACAGTTTAAACAACTCCAAACTACAAGTACTAGCACAAAGTGTCATGGACAATCCCCATGCTCACTCAAATAAGGCAACATGCCCCACATCAGTCTCAACAACAACATATCATAAATAGCGGAAAACATAAACAGCATCCCAAATCCAGTCATGCTAACATAAAGCAGTAAAACATAATCAGCTAAGCTCCGGCCTCCTGACGCCTGAGGCATCAGTACCCATATTACCTGATCCTGAAATAAGCATTCCCCAAACGTAGGGTAAGATCTCTAATCTAGAAATCTCAGTAAGTCAGTGAGTCCTCAAGGATCTTCCACCCCAAGCTCACTTACATGTGCAATATAAGTTCAAAAGCAGTTTATTATTTATCATTTCTAAAACAATGCAATGCAGCAGATAATCATGTCATGTGTGTCAATACTAATCTACTGGCCAGAGACAGTGCAGGTATACGTCTATCACCTACACACCGTGCAAGTACCACTTGCATTCACCCCGGTACACCATCTTGTATGGCGCTACATACTCAGGCTTCCCGTCAAGATGAAACAACACATGCATATTAAAAGCCATTACATGTAAAGTTCAATCAACATATCAAATATCCAAAAGCATGTACACAAGCATGCATAAACCATACCCCCATGGGACATGGTGGAACCACAACATGTCTAAACCGAGGACACGAAAGCTTACCTTGCAAGCTAACTCCAAAAGCCAAGAGTCCACAGCTCAAAGTCCAAACACAGCATATTCACAATCTGTTATGGGCCAACAAGAAATCAACAACATGCACCACAAGCATACAATATTAAGACAACGCCTTTTCATTACGTTTTCAAGTCTTAAAGCTTCTAACAAAGCCACAAGCCCTTAATCCCATGATTCTGGCTTAATCCATTAAATACAAAAGTTCAACTTCATCAATCTAGGGTCCACAGACCCCCAATAGCCTACTGTACACACAGCACAACTACTGTTCTACGAAATCCCAGAATATCCGGATATCTCATTGGACATATCCGGATATGTAATATCCGGATATCCAGAATCCCATATCCGGATATCTAGTATCCAGATATCCCAAAACCCCATATCCGAATACACATATCCGGACTTCTTCACCTGTGTTGATCCTTCCTGATCTTGAGGAGCAGTTTGAGCTTTACTGTGATGCTTCTGGGAAGGGGCTGAGCTGTGTGTTGATGCAGTCTGGTAGAGCTGTTGCTTTTGCTTCGAGGCAGTTGAAGCCTCATAAGGAGAACTACCCGACTCATGATTTGGAGTTGGCTGCGATTGTGTTTGCTTTCAAGATTTGGAGGCATTACCTGTTTGGCATGCAGTTTGCGGTGTTCAGTGATCACAAGAGCTTGAAGTATCTGTTTGATCAGAAAGAGCTGAACATGAGGTAGAGAAGATGGATGGAGTTTCTGAAGGACTACGACTTTGAGTTGAAGTACCATCCTGGCAAGGCCAATGTGGTAGCTCATGCTTTGAGTCGGAAATCCGTGAGTCTATCCAGTTTGACGATGGGTGACTTCGACCTCATAGAGAAGTTTCGAGATCTAAAGGTGACCACCTTGTTTGGGGGTTCACTTCTCGAGATGGAGACTGTGAGAGTCAGGAATGAGCTTATGGAGAAGATCCAAGAGGCGCAAGTGCAGAGAGAGTGTCTCGACTACGTGAAGAACCAAGACGGTGTGTCTTGGAATGAGGATGGACTTCTGTTGTTTCCGAAGCGTATTGTGATTCCTCGAGGTCCCTTGACCGAAGAGGTTATGGCGGAAGGCCATAAGGGGCAGTTTACTGTTCATCCTGGTGCTACAAAGATGTACCAAGACCTGAAGAGAAATTTCTGGTGGCCAGGAATGAAGAAGGACATAGCTGTGTATGTGTCCAAGTGTTTGATTTGCTAGAAGGTGAAGATTGAACACCAGAAGCCGTCTGGTAAGCTTCAACCTCTTGAGATTCCAGAGTGGAAATGGGAGAGCATTTCCATGGACTTCGTTGTGGGTTTGCCGAAGACTCAGGTCGGCTGTGACTCGATATGGGTCATTGTGGACAGATTGACAAAGTCTGCCCATTTTCTTCCAGTGAAGGTGAGCTTCACTACAGAGCAGTTGGCCAAACCGTATGTTCGCGAGATTGTGAGGCTTCACGGGGTGCCCGAGAGTATCATTAGTGATAGGGACCCGAAGTTCACATCTCGGTTCTGGGAGACGCTGCAGGGAGCTTTTGGTACGCAGTTGAGACTGAGTACAGCCTGTCACCCTCAGACTGATGGACAGACTGAGCGGACTATCCAGACCTTGGAGGACATGTTGCGGGCTTGCACGTTGGAGCAGGGCTCGGCATGGGATAAGTACCTTCCATTGGTGGAGTTTTCGTATAACAACAGTTTCCATGCTAGCCTGGGCATGGCACCCTATGAGGCGCTCTACGGTAGGAGGTGTCGTACACCTACTTGTTGGTCTGAGGTTGGGGATCGTGAGTTGTTTGGCTTGGACTTTGTCCAAGATACCACCCTGCAGATCCAGATGATCAGGAAAAAGTTGAAGCAGACGCAGAATCGTCAGAAAAGCTACTACGATGTCAAGCATCGTCCACTGGAGTTCAGTGAGGGTGAGCACGTGTTTGTGAGACTTTCACCTGTCATCGGTGTTGGACAGGCACTCGGAGTGAGCAAGCTGAGCCCGCGGTTTATTGGGCTATACCAGATTCTTGGTAGAGTAGGACCTGTTGCCTACCGGCTTGCCTTGCCTCCGAACCTGGCTAACATCCACGACGTGTTTCACGTGTCTCAGCTTCGGAGGTACATAGCAGATCCGTCGCATGTGGTGCAACCGGATGATGTGGAGGTTCGGGAGAACCTAAAGACTCCCGTCGGACCACTAAAGATTCTCGATCGTGGCGAGAAGCAGCTGAGGAGCAAGATCTTTCTGATGGTCAAGGTGCAGTGGACCGGAAGGACTCCTGAGGAGTGTACTTGGGAGCGTGAGGACGAGCTTCTCCGGCTGTGCCCCGAGTTTCGACCAGGTATGTTTCTGATTTTGAGGTCAAAATCCTAAAAAGGTGGGGTGAATGTAAGAACCCGCACCGTTAATTAAGGAATTTAATTAATAAATTATGAGAAAATAGGAAATGATTCCATAATTGACCCTAATAATTATTATGAGGATTTAATAATTATAGTAAGTGAGTAATATTGCTGAAAGTCGCTTTTCGGAAGAAAAGTGCAGATACCGGTTCTATTAGTCAGTATAAATGAGTACCGAAAAAGTATCTCGGAAAATTAATGTAAGTGCATGATAATTACTAGAATGATATATAGGACTTGTAAAACGAGTTTCAAGTCCAAATAATGAGAACTGGTGCTAGAAACCGGTACTGGCTTGGAAAAGCGCGTACCGGAAAGGTGCTCAGAAAATTATAAGAAAAATATGATAATTCTTGTAAAATTGAGTAGGTTAAGAATTCAGAGTTTGGGATTAAAATGCTAAGCGTAGCAATTAAAGTTAATACTGGGTGATTAATGGTTAAACCGCTATAAATAGCCTTATGATTGACACATAACCCTAGGACCACAGTTTTTGTGCGTGAGTGGCTGCTGAGTGTGGGTCTCCTTGCTGACTTGGTGTCTCCTTCACTTGCCTTCACCATTTCTTGAGCTTTGATGCCATTTCCTTCACTTATTCTTCTCCTAAACACTTGTGGTGAGTGAGAGTGGTCTTTGGGAGTGTGTTGGTGGCATTTTTCTGAGTTGAGGGTGCTGACCTTGGTGGGTGGAGCTGCTGTTTTGGGTTGTTTGGGTGATTGGAGTCTTGTTCTTGGCTTGTGAAGCTTCTTTGTGAAGAAAGGACCAACCTTTGTGTTGCATTTTCGTACACCTTATTTCCAGAACCTGTAGAGGCAGTGTGGTGAGCTCCATGAGCCATTGATCCTCTGTTTTGAGCTTTGGTGAGTTGTACCTACCTTGAGCTTGTGTTTTAATGGGTTAAAGGTGTGATATTTGCATGTTTAAAGGGTTAGTCAAGTAATCAACTGGGGTGTGGACCTTAATCAGTATAAAGATGCATGCTTTAACGTAATTAAGTGTTAAAAATGGAACCTTGGAAGGATATCTTCACGAAATGCATTTTCTGCATTCTGTCGTGAAATATCCGGATATGTGCCCGAGGAATATCTGGATATGTGATATCCAGATATGGGTTTTGAGTATCCGGATATCAGATATCCGGATATGGGATTCTGAATATCCGGATATTGCATATCCGGATATGGTCTTTTGAAGCCTTGTAAAGGTTTATTGCTTTTCGGACCGCCTGGTACAGGAAAAACAATGCTTGCAAAGGCAATTGCAAATGAATCCGGAGCAAGTTTCATAAGCATCTCAGTGTCCTCCATCATTTCAAAATGGTATGGAGGAGCTGAAAAGAATGTCCGAGCTTTGTTTACAGTGGCAGCAAAGGTTGCCCCAACTATTATTTTTATTGATGAGGTTGATAGCATACTTGGGCAACGGACTAGAGCTGGACAGAATGAGACAATGAGAAGTATTAAAAATGAATTCATGATCCACTGGGATGGGTTATTGACAAAACCTGGTGAGCAAATTTTGGTTCTTGCTGCAACCAACAGGCCATTTGATCTTGATGAAGCAATTATAAGGCGGTTTGAGCATAGGTAGGACCACACTTTTGTCTTATGGTTGGCATGATCATTTGTTGCTTCTGTTCAATTTCAATAGAAAACCACTCCCTTTAAAACCTTGACTAGCGAGGGTGGGGTGAGGATAATCCGTGTACGCAGTCTTATCCTTGCATAATTGCAAAGGGGATGTTCAGTTGCAATATTTTTTATTTTTTTTAATTGGAACAATGATTAGCCTCATCTTCATTATGGTGGTGCTCATAAGAAAACCATAAATTTATAATAGAGATTTCAAGTTTTTTAAAAAATTGGCCAAAAATTTAAACTTTAATTTCCTTTTTGAAAAGTCCACTTTTGAAAATATGTTGAAATTTTTCTCTAGATTGTGTATACTTGATGTCTTCCTTGGATTCAATAAAATCTTATGCAGTTTTCAACTATGCAAGAATAGCACTCCTTAATTTTGAGCACTGGCTAAAGCATCTCTTAGCTATATCATTGCACTGCTTGGTTTTTGGATACATCAAAAGCTGTTTTGTTTGAGATTTATGAATGACATCTCTGTTCATTGCAATATTGAGCAGGATCATGGTTGGTCTTCCATCTACTGAAAACAGGGAAATGATATTGAAAACTCTCCTGGCTAAGGAAAAACATGAAAATATAGACTTCAAAGAGCTTTCAACCATGACACAAGGATATAGTGGAAGTGATCTTAAGGTTCATTTTCCTGGTTACTCTGGTTCATTACTTCTATTTTGTCGTGATGGTCTATTGACATTATTTTTTATAAACAGAATTTGTGCTCGACTGCTGCTTATCGACCAGTTGGGAGCTAATACAGCAGGAGAGGTTGAAGGAAATGGTAGTTACCAAATCACTTCTAATAATTTGAATGTTAAAATGAGCTCCAACTAATGCGTAATTGTTATCTTCTGTACAAAAGGGTTAACCATTGCATCTTATTTCAGGAAAAAAAGAAAATGGAGGCAGAAGTTCAAAGCTCAGAAGATGCTTCCAATGCTACAGAAGGTAACGAAGACCATGTAATTATCTTGAGGCCTATAAACATGGAAGACATGACACAGGCAACGAGTCAGGTATGTAGGACTGAAAATCATTCACATCAATGGCTATAGAGTACTTGATTTGGGTGTCTTTACCTTGCACTATATGGTTTATTTTAAAAATAATTTCCTTAATGTTGAGGAATTCTAAGATGTGATTCAACGGAATTTAAAGACAGTTATCTGACATTTGGGTAAATGACATTGAGTTAAGGTATTTTAGTAAGCAAAAGTTGCAGTTATTTCAAATATCAGCAATCCAACATTCACCTTTGGGGTTATTCTATAAATTTCAATTGAACCTGTTTTCCATTCATCAATGACTACTGCACCTTGGTTTATTTGTTACCTTGTTCCTTTGTAGAAATAAATTGTTGAACAATGAAATATACAAATTTTATTAAGAGAAACTCAAATTACAACTACTTTCACACACTTAACTTTATAAAGACTACTTTGTCTTACACCCATTCACTCTCACTATTTACTCTCCCAGGCTCACTTTCACTCTACACTATTCTCTTTTCCTCTCTTTCTTCTTCCTCAGTCGCTGCTTCTTCTCACTTATTTCTTCCTAACTAAGGGGGGTGTATTGGATTGAGATTTCAAAGGATTTTAATGGATTGTTTTTGGATAAAAAAATCTGTTGGTATTCGATTAGGATTTTAATGGATTGAAAAAAAGTCACGTGGTATTCGATTAGGATTTTAAATGATTATTTTAAAATCCGAACAAATCCGTTGGTATTCAATCAAGATTTTAAACAACGGAATCACAATCTCGTGGTATTCAAAAATGCGACGATTTTAATGGATTTTCTATTGGTGTGGATTTCGTGAGACTTTTTAGTGAAAAATATAAATAGGATGTCTTTCTCACAATCTCACCCCAACCCCTAGGATTTCTTGAGATTCTTCTGTTGCAGTGTCTTCTTCTTCCTTTGACAGGTTGACTGCTCGAAATTGGGTTCTGCCATGGGAGCTTCGTCAAAACTAAAAAAAAAAGAGTATATTTTTGAGCGATTTTCATCACAAAACAACCCAAATTTTTGAAATTTTTTGGAAGTTTAAAAAGTGATTTTTCAAGCTATGGGAAACTAAAACCCTGAAACCAATTTTCGTTTTACATCAATGAAGCAATATCAATTTAAAGAAATATTGAAACTTTCATAATATGAACCCTATATTTCGTAACAACACATTCATGAACGAAATTTCTTCACTATAGGAAACAATTTCAAACAATTTTTGTGTCAATAGATAACTAAAAACTTGTTTCTCAAAAGCCCCAAAACAATTTAAGGTTTGAATGTATCGAATGAAAAAAATTTGAGAAATTTTCTAAACTTTCATGTAATTAAACCCAAAATTTCAGATTCAAAATTTTCTTAGAATATTCAATGAAAATATGCATATGATATATGGTTAGAAAACTCTCATCACATAAAACAAAAATCCCAAGGTTTTCAAGATCAATTGCAAAAAATTTCAAACAAAATTTTATCATGAACTTTAGGTTCTATATGCAAATTTAGAATTATTTTTATATTTAAAAAAAATTGGGTCTTATAATCATATATGCATAACTTTGATACCAAATGAAGAAGATAATTTTCAACCCATTAGATATGTGAAAAGCTGTTGTTTAGTAATTTTGAATGTTTGTTAAAAATTGTATTATGCTTTACTGATTGAGAAAATTATATTAGGTTTTACTTTTTTTTTTATTAATTTCATTGCATTTCTTTGTTATTTTTTTATGGGGTATATTATACTTAAAACCTATTTTTGTTTACAACCATATTTTAACCGTTGATTTCCGTCAATCAATGGTTGTTATTTTCACAAATCAAACTCATTAATTAATATTTAACTTGGAAGTTAACCGTTGATATATGGTTATTATTTTCGCAAATCAAACTCAAACTCAAACTCATTGAGAAAATTATATTAGATTTTATTGATATGTGGAGAGTTGTTGCTTAGTAATTTTTGAGATAATTTTCTACCCGTTGTTAAGTTTACTTTTTTTTTTATTAATATCATTGCATTTCTTTGTTATTTGTTTTTATTGACTCTTGTAATTTTAAATATTTGCTAAAAATTCATATAGTTTTTTAAAATCTTATAAATCCATATTTTCCTTTCAAATCTTATGAATTCTATTAAAATCCTTTAAAATACAATCCTATGAAATCTTGATTGTAAAAAAAGTCTTCTAAAAAAGTCTATAAAGTCTCTCCAATTCTAAAATGTCTTTTAAAATCTGTAAGATTTTTTATCTCAAAAAAGTCTATGTTCTTCTTCATCTTCCTTTGGCTTGACGAGCTCTCAAGATTTTTCTATTTGTTTCTTCATCTTTCTTTGACTTTATAAGTTCCCTAAATACTTCTCTTTGTTTCTTCATTTTCTTCATTATTATGCACCACTTCTGGAAGATTAATCTATGGAATTTTCTAGAGAATTGTAGTGAGTGAAGGAGAGAGTAGTTAGTTGGTGCTCATTTCAATTTAAATTTATTTGGTACCTAAAGTTTCAAAATGGCAACACATATCCTGGTAAGATACTGAAATAAAGTTAACCTAATAATTGTTATCACTTCTAGGACATGACAAACAGGTTCAGTGGTCCTTTTTTTGTTTTGCATGCAAAATTTCAAATTACATTCAATCAAGGATTTTAAGCTTAATTTTTAACAATGTCACCCATATGGAAGATTGAAAATCGTGTCTTGTGCCAGATGCATACTTATTTCTATTTAGAAATTGATAGATGTATGTGTAAAAATGCAGGTGGCTACAAGTTTTGATGTAGAAGGCTCAATAATGAAGGAACTGAAACAGTGGAATGATTTATATGGAAAAGGAGGTTCAAGGAAGAAACAATACCTAACCTATTTCCGTTAAATTGTTGAAAGCTGGTTTTATTTTGGACTTGTCAATATTTATCCAAAGGATATCTTTGTTGAAGTCTTTTTAGTTTCTTGTGTCAGTTACAATATTGAAGAGTTAATTGTCTTTTGGTTTTTCTTATGTGAGTTATGAAGTTAAATTGTTATGTTTATTACGGATATAATGGTTGACGTTATGACATTATGAGTAGTTAATTAGTGGTGTTATGAGACTCTTGATTAGCTTTGTAATGAGTCTCTTCATTGGTACTTTCAGTTTTTTATGTTGCCTATTAATAGGCTTGATGTGTTGAAGAAATATAGTATTCCCTTTTCAATATTTTTACGTATCTCAATATTCTATCAGTGGTATCAAGAGCCAGGTTGAGAGTTAAACACGTGAGTAAAGTGAAGAGTCATGGCCACAGATTCTAATTTTGTGCAAGCAGCCATTCCACGTTTCGATGGTCATTATGATCATTGGAGCATGTTGATGGAGAATTTCCTTCGATCCAAGGAATATTGGGATGTAGTTACCAATGGTGTTGTTGAACCAACACTAGCAGAAGGAGCTCAGTTGACAGCAGCACAACGAGCAGCTCATGAAGCAGTAAAGTTGAAGGATTTGAAGGCGAAGAATTATCTCTTCCAGGCCATTGACCATTCTATCTTGGAAACCATTCTTTCCAAAGAAACTTCCAAGGATATTTGGGACTCCATGAAAAAGAAGTATCAAGGCTCTGCAAGAGCAAAGAGGCAGCAGCTTCAAGCTTTACGCTCGTTGGGAGTCGGGAGAATCAATTGCAGATTATTTCTCTCGCGTGATGACCATTGTCAATAAAATGCGAATTCATGGAGGCAGGACAGAAGAAATAACTGTCATAGAAAAAATTATTCGATCATTAACAGCAAAATTTAACTTTGTTTTTTGTGCTATAGAAGAATCTAAAGATATAGATAATTTGTCACTTGATGAATTGCAGAGCTCATTGGTGGTGCATGAACAGAAGTTCAAATAGGAAGACACATATGAGCAAGCATTAAAGGCTTCTACCGATACTCGTTCCAACAATTTTCAAGGAAGGGGTAGAGGCAGAGGTAGAGACAGAGGCAGAGGCAGAGGAAGGTCCACTAATTTCAAAGCCAATAATGATCAATTTCAAGGCAGAGGCAAAGGAGGAGCCCCTGATAAATCCAAGGTAGAATGTTTCAGGTGTCATAAATTTGGTCATTATCAATCTGAATGTTATACTAAGCTGCCAAATAGCAAAGAAAAAGGAGAAAGTTCAAACTTTGCAGAAAAAGAGGAAGGTGAAACCTTATTGATGGTTGCTAAAGATGAAAAGAAAATTGAGCCATATGTTTGGTATGTGGATATTGGTTGTAGCAACCACATGAGTGGTAGTAAGTCTTCTTTCTCTCATATGAATGAAAATTTTCAATCTACTGTGAGTTTTGGTGATCATTCTATTGTGAAAGTAATGGGAAAAGGTGACATTAAAATAAAAACCAAGAATGGTTTTGTGGAAACAATATCTAATGTATTGTATGTTCCTGATTTAAAAAGTAATTTATTGAGTGCTGGCCAATTACAAGAAAAGGGTTATGTGATCACTATTAGAAACGGAGTTTGTGTATTACAAAAAAAAATGGTGTTTGTGAAATATATGATTCTGTTAGAGGTGCTATTGCTGTTATTCAGATGAGTTCAAACAGATTGTTTCCATTAAAGATTGAAGGAATCCAATCTAGTTTAATGGCTGAAATGAAAGATCCTTCATGGTTGTGGCATTTTCGCTATGGCCATCTGAGCTTTGGTGGGTTGAAGACACTCCAACAGAAAAATATGGTGACAGGCCTCCCTCAAATCACAATTCCTCATTCCTTAGTATGTGAAGAATGTGTTGTCAGCAAACAACATCGTTCTGAATTTGCAAAAGGGAACTCATGGAGAGCAAAGGGAATTTTGCAATTGGTGCATTCAGACATTTGTGGTCCAATAAATCCAATTTCTAATGGAGGTAAAAAATATTTAATTACCTTCATTGATGATTTTTCTAGAAAAACGTGGGTTTATTTTTTACAGGAAAAGTCAGAAGCTTTCTCTACATTTAAAAATTTCAAAGCTCGTGTGGAGAATGAGACAGGAATGATGATTCAAACACTTCGCACAGATCGTGGTGGTGAATATTGTTCAAAAGAATTTGAACTTTTTTGTGAAGAACATGGCATCCGAAAAGAGCTTACAACTGCGTATACACCACAAAAAAATGGTGTATCAGAGAGGAAGAATCGAACCATCCTCAACATGGTTAGAAGCTTGTTGGCAAGAGGAAGAGTTCCAAAGACGTTTTGGCCAGAAGCAGTAAACTGGTGCATTCATGTCTTGAACAGAAGTCCAACCTTTGCAGTTCAAAATATGACGCCAGAAGAGGCTTGGAGTGGGAGAAAACCAAATGTGGATCACTTTAGAATTTTTGGATGCATTGCATATGCTCATGTCCCGGATCAGAAAAGAAAAAAACTTGATGACAAGGCTGAAAAATGTGTCTTTCTAGGTGTAAGTGATACATCTAAAGCATATAAATTATTTAATCCACTTACAAAAAAAATTGTGGTTAGCAGGGATGTTGTTTTTGATGAAGAAAACACTTGGGATTGGAATATGCAGCAGCCTACCCAAGTTCTTGGTGATATTGATTCTGAACAAGAACAAATTTCAGCATCTAGTATGCCTGAAAATTCGTCCATTGCAACTTCTTCAGCTAGTCAATCCTCACCAACAGTAGTTGGAGTTAACGAAGAAGAAACTCAATTTCTTCGTCGTGTTAGAAGAAGGCCTGCTTGGATGGAAGATTATGAGGTAACTGGAATTGAAGATCCATTTACTCACTTTGCTTTGTTTTCAGAATGTGATCCCGTGACTTTTGAGAGTGCTGTCAAAGAAGAAAAATGGCGAAAAGCAATGGATGCTGAAATTGATGCAACTAAGAGGAATGATACTTGGGAGTTAACTGATCTTCCAAATGGGCAAAAAACTATTGGTGTGAAGTGGGTGTTCAAAACAAAGTTAAAGGAAAATGGTGAAATTGACAAGCACAAAGCACGCTTGGTTGTCAAGGGGTACAAGCAACAATATGGGATTGATTATACATATGTTTTTCTCCTGTTGCAAGACATGATACAATCAGGTTGGTGGTTGCATTGGCTGCACAAAATGCTTGGCCTATTTACCAGTTAGATGTCAAATCGGCATTCTTGCATGGGTACTTGGAGGAACAAATATTTATTGAACAACCCCCTGGTTATGAGAAGGTTGGAAATGAGCATAAAGTTTACAAATTGAAAAAGGCACTTTATGGACTAAAACAAGCCCCTCGAGCTTGGTATAGTCGTATTGAGTCTTATTTTCTTAAGGCTGGTTTTATAAAGTGTCCTTATGAACATACATTCTTTGTTAAGATTGGTGATGAAGGAAAAATGCTTATTGTTTGCTTATATGTAGATGATCTTATATTCACTGGAAATCGTGATGTTATGTTTGAAGAATTTAAAAAGTCTATGATGAATGAGTTTGAAATGACTGATCTTGGTATGATGCATTACTTTCTTGGCATAAGTGTAGCACAGTCAAGTGATGGAATTTTTATTTCTCAAAATAAATATGTGGAAGATATTCTAGACAGGTTTCAGATGAAGGATTGTAATCCTGTGCACACTCCAGTTGAATGTGGCTTGAAGCTACATAAAGATCATGGAGGAAAGAAGGTTGACAACACCTTCTACAAACAAATTGTGCGAAGTTTGATGTATCTCACTGCAACAAGGCCAGACATAATGTATTCTGTGAGTTTAATTAGCAGGTATATGGAGAATCCTACAGAAATGCATTTGTTAGCTGCCAAAAGAATCCTTCGCTACTTGCAAGGAACAAGAAATTTCGGGATATTTTACAAGAAGGATGTAAATTCTGATTTAGTGGGATTTACTGACAGTGATTATGTAAGAACCTGCACCGTTAATTAAGGTATTTAATTAATTAATTATGCAAAATTAGGAAATGATTCCATAATTGACCCTAATAATTATTAAGAGGCTTTAATAATTATGGAAAGTGATTAAGAATGCTGAACGTCGCTTTTCGGAAGAAAAGTGCAGATACCGGTTCTGCTAGTCGGTATAAATGCGTACCGAAAAAGTATCCCGAAAAATTAATGTAAGTGCATGATAATTACTAGAATAATATGTAGGACTTGTAAAACGAGTTTCAAGTCCAAATAATGAGAACTGGTGCTAGAAACCGGTACTGGCTCTGAAAAGCGCATACCAGAAAGGTGCTCAGAAAAATATAATAAAAATATGATAATTCTTGGAAAAATGTGTATTTTCAGAATCCAAAGTTTGGGATTAAAATGCTAAGCGTAGCAATTAAAGCTAATACTGTGTGTTTAATGAGTAAGTGTCTATATATATGGCTTTTAAGGGGCACACAACCCTAGATAACTACTTTGCTGCGTGGCTTTTCTTGGAGGCTGACCAGAAAAAGTGTTCTTAGGCTTCCTTCTCCATTTCTTGAACAAGCATTCACCTTTGATGCTTGTTCTTCCATTTAAACACTTGGTGAGGGTGAGGGTTGGCCTTGGGACTGCATTGTGGTTCTGATTCTGAGTTAGAGAACCTGTGTAAGGGAGTTTGAACAGCTATGTTTTCTGTTCTTGAGGGGTGTGACCTTTTGTTGGCATTTTGATGCTCCAAGGTGCCTTCTTGTTTAGTGAAAGACCTACTTCTTGTACATTTTCGTGCATCCTCTTGTGACAGTAGCTTGAGACTGATTGTGATCTCCAAAGGGCAACCTTTCCTTCTGTTTTGAGCTGGGGTATGTGTACCAACCTTTAACTTGAGTTTAAATGCTTAAAAATGGTACCTTGATGCATCTAATGACTAAAAGATGATAAATTGTTGTTGGGTTGAACACGCCTAGAAATCCATGATTAGGTGTTTAAAATTGGTAAAAAG